CACAAATTTTTCACCCCGGCCGGCTTGAACTCCTGAATTCACCGGGCTGGCTTTGACGTTTAAGAAATCTGATTTTCTTCTCACGTATAGCGAAGGATTACCCCGAGTATTCGTCATCGACCAGGACGACCACTTCATTTTGGATATCCACAAACAACGAACGATTCATCCTCGGTCCTATTCTTCCCTCCTTTAACTTCGTCCCTTTCGCTCGCCACGAGGGCAGAATATGAAGTTATTCTTTTTATCGTCGCGGTGAAATCAGACTGAATCAATTTTGGATGAAAACTTTTCGATCGTTCAATCAGAGGCATAATAAAAACGAGATAAATTTCGAAATTACTTAAGAATTCGTATTGTTATTATGATTTCATAAAAAGAAGAGAGAGACATTTCTTTGGAGTGTGGACATTATCAGATAAACATATCAATTTTATTGAACACATACAATGGCGTTCTTCAAATAATTGAAATAAATAAAGGTGAGGGAATGTCATTTTCATCTTCGTACTTTTATTATATACAAACTTCAAATGAAAATTTATCACCTCAACACGTTTCGCGCCACTTTCAAAATTCACTTTAGAAATATGTTGGTGCAACTGAAAATGTACTCAATATTTTGATATGAAATTTTAACTGAAGATATTGTATTACACACTTGAAAAGGGAAAATATCTACAACGGTCTAGTGTCCAATAAAGCATATGCACATAAGACAACAGACTTGAAACGTGTAAGCTATCATATAATAAATTTGAATTGGTTGTTACAAGTGCTGTAATGATTTCTTGTCTTGCAGATGATCCAGAGTAATATAAAAAGAATATTGGTGGGTGGTCGCTATGGGAAATGAAGCTGCATCGGTCAGAAGAGACTGTCGGACCACCTTTACCCCCTTTGCCCTCCCTTAATCCTCTCACTCATTCTCCCTCTCCTGTAAAATCAATAGATGCGTCGGCGTCCAGCACGATAGAATTCTGCCATATAACCTCGAATGATTTGCTAAAATTGATCAAACGCCTGGTGCACTGATAATTACGAAATAAACTATGCGTTCAAATAAATCTGATGAATCGAAATAGAAAAAAAATGATCTGAATGATCATTTTTCGGTTTGTGCTATGATTTTTCAACCTTGAACACCTTCCAGAATTCTGATACATCATATGATAAATGTCATGAAAAAAACCGTTTAATGTACAGTGAACTATAATGAAAATATTGACATGAAACGAAGTAAAGATGATTGCTTCAAATTTGATAGTTTTTCATTTTGTGCAGAAATTATAATTTTCACTGCAACTTTCTGTCTAATTTTTTAGATAAAAACTACCTACTCAATGAATGATGTATGTCTTTAATATCAAGATATTTCTTTTTATAGCAAGGGATTCTTTATAATATCGGATTGTTTAAACGTTTGAACGTTAGAACGTTTTCACTTGTCTTTAATATTTACTTCGTCGCGGAAGAACGGTTCGTGAACCGTGAGGCTTGAACGATGCTCGACGACGAGCGGAATGCTGCTTTGTCTCTTTTACGAATTAATTTCAAGGATGAGGACCTTTGTGCCCCCACAAGGGGTCTTACTTCGCATCGAGCAAACCCAATTTACGCTTAAACAAGAAGCATCTTCGCATAACTTAGCCTTGCGTAAAATTCACCGTCAAAAGGAGGAAAGTTTCTTTTATAAAATCCAAGATCTAGTAGGATTGAGAAAGTGAACTTCAAAGACTCGTCAGATAGAAAAAAAGAATACGAATGATTTCAAATCCTGTTACACATCATATTTCGTTAGCATATGACGAAATCGATATTTAATCTTTTATAACAGTGATCTCTTGCAGAATGCAGAAAAATAATTTGGAGATCAAAGAATTCATAACATAAATACAGAATTTCCCTTTTCATTTACACGTACGAAGTATGAGGATTACATCAATAAGTATTCTTTTGGTAGAACCTGTAAAAGTATTAATTGTATAAATTACAAAAATCAGGACTATTTTTATATTTTCGATATATCTTTGTAAGCATAATATATACCAGCCTATTTTTACGGAATTTACACAAGTATTATTGTAAATTGCATACTTTTTTATAAATATGTAAATACAAAAACAATACAAGTAAAGCAGTAAAATAATTAAAGCTGTGAGAAGTGTATAAGAATTACTATATTATTACATCGTAGATATGTATAATGTGTATTTATTTTTTTATTATAATAAAATTTTGAATCTTTCAAATAATTTGTATATAGATACTTCTATTTATACACGCTTTATTTACCAATTCAGACGTGTAAGTATTGTATGATATATACATCTTATTGTGGCGCCATTCATCGGTTGTCGGTGGAACTAATAACGAAATTTCCCAAGCATAGTTGAAGTGATCATCAATAGATGACACGACCATACAATTCTATGTTATAAAATACAGTAAACATTTGTGTATTGCATATTTCGGGGCTGTAGAGGACTACAATTCCAGAAATAGTGCAATAAACAAGCGCCAATCACCTGCGAGCTTTGCCCCTATACATATGTAAATAAGATGAGCTGGATGTACACACTTTTTGATCACCTTACTATCTCCGTTATTTTTAGACATATGAAAAAAGTTTATTCACAGAAGTTGTTGAGTATTGCAACATTTTACTAACACAATGTTACATACACCGCACTTTCTGTGATGAAAAATATGTGAGTTAAACGCGACACCGTACGTATTGCGTCCCTTCCTGGCGACAGAGTATGGTATACGCAGTGTATGGAAAACACGTGTGAGCGAGGGCGTACGAATATACATTAAAAGGGACTCCATTTAACGAATGTCTACTGTACCCACATTTTGCATCAATAACGATATAATTGATTTTTGAAGCGTAAATGACTATTTCCTCAGGTGTTTCAATCGATGGATCGAAGTTCTACCAATTATTACGTTTAAAATCATTATTTAGTGTCACTACCCACTGCAGATTCACCGTTCTCAAAGTGTAGAGGTCGTTAAAATCATAGGCTTGTTAAGGTGTCGGTACTAACAATAAGTTTAGGTGGGCCACCAACTCCCATAAGATGATATGTATTACCACCGACTAGGTATAGGATAGACCTATCATCTTATGGGACTTCGTGTCTCATGTTCTGAAATACTGATAATGTAAAAAGTCATTGTCAAAAGTACATTAAATCCATTCGAGCTCAACTAGTCTAACTTCTACAGTGTTGTCGAGTCTAAAGTACGCAATGTTATCAGACCATGAGTGTTCGATACGTCGGAAAATCATCGAAGGGACCATGGTCGTGAACGGATTCTCTTCCGTCCGTTCGCTGTAAAGTAGACGTATTAGAAAGGAGTCTTGGGTTCGGGTCCCGACGGACCTATTGGTTTTTTTTCGCGTACAGAAAAGTTATTGCGTTTAATATTGTTTTTATGAGTATGTATATGTATTATTATGTATATTTGAGTAAATTATTTGATTATTACAACAGTTTAACAGTAACAAAGAACGCATGTATATTTTCAAATATTGGATTAACAGTATATTTTAATTCTATATTATTACATATAAGTGAGTAATACGTATCAAAAACGTAATCGCAACACAGATTTTTATTACACCACAAACATCGCATAAAAGATATTTCGTTATATTGACATTTGTAATAATTATGGATATAACAAAATATCACTGTAACACTTAAAAAAGTTTTAAAGTTCCATTTATATCATTGTCCTGTGAAAATGTTCATACTTCCAGCAGCATTCATATTCCAATCAAAGAGTTTACAGAA